CCCGACCATTAGAAGCCCAATTTTGACCCCCCCCCCCCCCCCCCACCGGAGCACCACACTCCACAGCTCACTGGGAGCCTCAGCTGAGGGGCTCAGTGGTCTCGTCAACTTCTCGGAGTCTGGTTCACTTTCCCTGTGTGCGGAGATCGTGAGTTTTCGCGTGTGAAAGTGAAGTGCACACTTAGGATGCCAGGCTAGAGGTGAGCCTTCAAACAGGTTTTGGCGTAGTAAATATAGAAATAGACGTGTTTTGGGTGGAATTTGTTGGTTTGCTGTTTACAAAACTAGCATTGATAAAATGTAATAGATTAGATGTGTACGTTTTCGACGAGGCTAATTGGTAATAGCTGAAGGATTAATCGTTAAGACTTTGTTAATAAGAACTTCGTGATAAACTAATACATCCTCTTGATAACCCCAATGAGGATATATGATTCAAAATTTGATCCACCAAAAACTACTGCACTAATATTTTAGAAAGTTCATAGAGGGGAAATATGTCAGGCATAACAAGTAAATAAACAAATGGAACTGGGGATTGTTCGACCGCAAATAAAATTGTATAACCAGACTTGTTCATAAGCTGAATAATTGTGAAGTCGTAAAAACAGCACAGTTGTAAACAAAATTAGTTCTTCTTTTGAATGCAATTATTGAGGTCAGCATCATTAATTAATTTTATTATTTATTTTTTAGATACAGGTGCTCTTAAACAAAGCACGAAACTGGAAACGTCAACTTTTTAATACTGTTGTGGCTTAACTTCACGTAAATTTACGTACTCGTCAAAAGGGAATTCTCTCGCCATGGAAATACCCGTGAATGATTCTATCGTCAATCTAAAGTCCATAGACAAGATCTAAACTGTTACTTCTTGTCCAGCTATTAGCTTGCATAGTTTTGTCTAAATATAGGTTTAGAGTGTTCTAAGAAGGCGCCCAATGATACAGACGTGTTAAATGCGAACCACACTTCAAGATATCGAGAATAGGATAAATTATCATTATTTATGCGAGAAGTAAAGTTAACAATGAACTTTTAATAAACCTATTGATAGCGGTTTGAGCATTAACTGCTCCAAACTAAAATATTCATTCATTACAAATCATTAACAAAACACAGAGTGTGCTATTGACTCTCGATACTGATGTAGACATTTAATCTTAAAAAAATCGGAATCAGCCGAAGTTTTTGTTATTTAACAACATTGAACGGGTAATGACATTGAACACAACATTGAACGGGACATATAGTGTGCTCCTGTTGAAATCCTGTTTCGTTCCGTTCTTGTAATATTACAGTTGATATTTATTATACTCGATTCGGTTACTATAATCTTTCGATGCTAAGTCCATATAAAAGACGCTTTAAAGATATGGACATATCAATATGTTCCTGCTCTAGCCAATTTCTTGATTAATGAGATTGTACTTAAACAAGACTCTCATATAGTGTACTAGCATTAATAGTTACTTTTTTACTTTTACTATATGACACTAACATTATTTATGACGGGTAAAGTTACCCTTTTACTTTGACATAGTAAAAACAAAAACTCTAATTTATAGCGATATTTGTGTGCGGCTCACGAAACTAAGTTCTTTTAAATCTTCAACTGGGAAAAACTTAAAAGTGTTTACTTGTGTACATGTGTAGAATATGTACTTTACTATAGTGTACAGTCAAAAGGTTTACAGACACTCACTTAGAAAGTCTAGCATTAGCACCTCGAGATGTAACCCAAGTTAATTTTGCTTTCACCCATTCACACGTACAAAATGAAATTGGTAAAAATAGTATGAATCCTTCAACAAGCAAAAAGTCTTAGATACCTACTACAAATACAATATAAACATACTGAGCTATATTGAAATAAACCGTTCAAGTCGTATATATTTACACAAATAATGTTCAGATTAGTTTAAATACATAACAGTGATTTGAGCATTTCATACCAAAACCGTTTTGAAATACATAATTAATATTATATCCATCAATATGTTAATAATAGGTTTTGAGTACGAACAATCCATCTATTAAAATCATTCGTTTATATAGATCGACATATAATACGAATAACAATATAATCTCCTATAATTAATTAATAAAAAGCCGTGGCGAGACAAAAGTGGCAACACCGCGGTCCCGGCCTACTGAAACAGCTGTTGCACTACAATTCCTGTTTGAGCGTCTGCGCAATGTTTATGTTTACACGTTTGTGTTTACTGTTGTTACCATGGGGATAGACCGGCCGGTGCGACGTTGCCATTTGTTTTGATATGATAGTTCATACAAACTAAAATATGTGAGTCTACAAAAGGTTGTTTAAAAGGTTGCTGTATACAGCAGAAAATTAGTTATTCTCCATCGTTTAGTTAGTGGAACTATTCTCAGTCCAACTTACAATTTTAATGGTAGTGGAACGTCTACTTCTATCCTTACCCATGGGTGATTCCAGAGATTTAAACCCGAACAAACCACAAGCCCCACGCTCAAAAAAAGTAGACCAGCCGATCCATTATTTATTACAAAGGATTTTAGACTCCTTTGAAAATGCAGTTTACACCCCCCCCCCCCTTATCAGTATAAGGCGATCTTCATCTTACAACTCATTCCACATCATCCCACAATCTCTCACCCATACCATATAGCCTCTCCTATAAAAGCCAAACTAGAAAAGTTGAAACTTTAAGACTGACAACATCCTAGATTTTTTCTCCCAGATTGAAGCTAGCTTGACACAGTCGCTAATTCCACCAGACGATTGCTGTCGCCATCAAAGATGCAGTTAAGTCTGGCAGAGCCAACAGCCATTACACCGACTGCGCCATTAGGACGACAATTTTTCTAATCACACTAGTTTCGAGATGTTCCCCGGGACAGTTTTTACGGCTGCGACAAAAAATGGTCCATTTAATGTTCAGTTTTTGTCGCTTCGCTTCATTCTCGCAAGTTCTTTGTTTTCAATGTTTGTATATTGTCGTTGTGTTGTTGTATAACGTTTCGTTTTATTTTGTTTATTTATCTTTAACGGGTTTTGTTAGGGAACTGTACAAACGCTGGACTTAAGTTTATCTTAACCTAATTTAGGAGTTGGCAAACCTTTTTTTTACAGTGATATTAACTAGCCAATGCTTGGGATTCAACCAGCAACCTGTAGATTTTAAGGAGATCAATATAATCCTACCCAGATAATTGTTGAAAACAGTTTGACGGTGACAATGTATATGTACAGGGAAAGTGTAACAGGCATTCATTTGACTGGATTTGTATTGATTCACGCCAACACATATTTTAGAAAATTAACAATACACTTAAACAACTCTCACACCTTCAGAGGTTATACTGGTAAAAATCCAAGTACTTTAACACTACAACGAAAAAAGTAAGGTACAAAATCACTTTAATTTTATTTAACCATCAGAGATTAAAACATATCTATCATTTGACAAAAACTACGGAATTGGAGTTGTTAACAGTTCAAAACAATGGAAGTTACAAAAGAGCGCCGAATTGTTTTAACTTTGCGATTCTCTAGTGATTTACTAAAGTGACATTTTTCACGGTGACAAAAGTACAAACGTGTATTGTTGAGTTTCACCTGGACCTGCAGTAACCAAACGGCTTTATTCAAGTTATATCACAACTCTGCAGTAACTTTTACAAAATGCAGACTCGTTAGGTTTATAAAATCTATTCTACCTGAGCAATTTGAATGGTTCTTTACTTACCTCAAAATTGTTGTAGTCACTGTACGCGATTCACTTACGATTGTGGTATCACGAACGACTTCTTAAAACTCACAAATATAACGAAAACTTAGATTTATTTTGGCTGAAAGAAGCGAGCTTGTGATCTTCACTAATACAAACAACTAACCTGTTTACAATGTTGTAAGACAAAAACATATGATTGTTAAATTCAAATAACTTATAAAAACAAAACAGCCCATTTGAAGAAAACAAAAATAAAAACCAATCTCTCAGCAAATGTTCTTTTGTTGACATTGAGGTTTAAACTGACTAGTACAGTTATACTACAAAATTAATATGATTTGTACCTAATTTAGAAAAAAAATATGTTTGAGAGTTATAGTTAATGTGTTGGGGAGCACAGTGGTCTTGTGGTAGAGATCGGGGCCTCAAAGCCCAAGGTCCCGGGTTCAAATCCCGCAATCATCAATGCATGTTATCCTGTGATAATAACACGACCCCTAGAACTAGCCTGAAGTAAAGTGTAAAACAGAATGTGAAGGTGGGACTTTGTACTAAAATATGAAACACACATCCATACATACTTTGATGATATGGGGGGTTGGGGTATGAATGGGTCTATATTCTCATTTGAGAGTTCAAAGCTTAAGTATTTGATTTGTATAATGAACATTTAGATTTTTTTGCAAACATTTTGAGATAAGATGAACGAATTGTATCCATGAAGCCATACAACCCGACCATATTAATGAAATGAACAACCAACCCTTATTCAGTTTTTGTAGAATTTAATGGTAAACCCCGTTAAAACTCATGACGGAGTTCTTGAATCATGTTAGAATTGCGTGAACTTTCTACTTCATGTAACCCCTCAAATAAACAAATAGTGGTGTAAGGTATAATGGTTTTGTTCTCCAGTTTTGATCGCCAAAACGAAAGCTTTACTATCCTGCAGACTGTGGGCAAATGTGTGGTTTCCAAGCTTTATCAAAAGTAGTCCTGTCATAGTAAAATTATAATTAGTTTGAATCGTAGTTTTCACACAACTCATCTACTGTAGCAAAAATGGTCGCTTTCCATCTCCCGATATGGTTCTCCATTGATCGGGATTGCATCAACATGGAATTATTCCTAAAAAAAATATTGTTTAGCTATAACCGCACTCAATCGAAAAACACTCCTCGACACAAACGTCTAAAATGCACAATAACAAAACATCAGCTGTTTCTTGCTGAAAACAGTGCTGCCAGCATAAATTTTAACCTCTACATCACCCATTTGTTGCAGGACATGATGTGCTCCAGATAGCCATGAGGCTGTTTCGTAGTCGTCGCCTTAGCGAGGTGTCAGAACCCCCGCAGGACCTTCTCCCAGAAACACCGCAGGACTCTCCGAAGGACCTGCGCTACCAGACCGTCACAGCAGTGCCTGCAGTCATCCTGGAGGATGATCCGCCCAAGGAGATGAAAAGAAGTAAGTGACATTTCACATTCTTTGATCAGTATATCACTTCTAGTTGCATCGTCCTCTAAAGAGCTTCGTCTTGTTCAGATGTGTCTATTGAACCCTCGTGTTAATTTTCTTTTGGGGACTCAAGTAGACATTCTATTCATCTATGGACCAGGAGTTAAAATAATTGTCTAAAAAATAAACATATCTAATCGATCCACTAACAGAACGAGCTGCTGTCAACTAACATCCTTTGGTATTTGGTACTATACCATGATATATGCTGTAATACAACATGTTTTACCGTAGTTAACAATAATCCGTCCTATCAATAAGGCTTGGTTAAAAAGTTCAGGGATTGACATCAGTTTGTTGGTGGTTCAATTAGCACACGTTTATTTATGCTCTAAACTGACTAAAGCCTTAAAAGAAAAAAAGAAATAGCCTACCTACAATAACAAAAAATCTAAGTTAAAGAGCATATTGCATATCACGAATCGTCTTAATCTATATTTTTGTATGAAATGTGTTTACAACACGTACGTAATCAGTTACGTAATCATTACACCTTTTGATTTTCGCACAGTGAAACTTCATAGGTCCATTCAATGTTTCCCAACCAATAAATCTAACCTTTGGCGCGTGTGAGAGAAAGATTCAATGGGAAAGTGAGGAATGAACTCGAGAAGTTTGCACTTTCCCCGAGTCAGAGGTCAAAGTAACAATGTCACCAGAGAGTTGTGGGCCAGAGAGTACAAAATACACGTGTGGCCAGAGAGTACGAAACAAATGGGTGGCCAGAGAGTAAACGCATTAGGTTAAACAACTGTAAACATTGGATCCCATCAAGTACGAACACCAAGGGTAAACCAAGCGTAGAGTTGACTGATGTCATGAACCACCTGAATAAATGCTAGATAGGTAACTCTACCAATTAGACAGTTTTTATTAAAACAGAAAGCAATCAATTAGAAAAATGGACTGTATTGCGTTTCTCATAAAATGGTTCCCAGTTATCTAAGAGGGGTAAAATGTAACACCTCACCCCAGCAAGCCTGCGGAATAAGCGAATTTTAATTTGCCTGATCGGATTTGCACTGAAATATTCCCCTAATCATGTTTTTGAGCTCGGGATTGTTATCACATTACTTCAGGCTGGACTCGCGGAATTATCACTTGGATAAAATCGATTGGTGATTTGGTGGGATTTGAACCTCCTTTTGATTTATTATCCATTTAAATAACATAAGGCTTAGTGAGTACTTAGGTTTGCTACAGGAAGTGTGATAAAATATTTTTTTTATTATTTTAGTGGGATAGCATGGTAAAAAAAAATATATTGGCCGAATTTGATACAAATATATCCATAATCCATAATCAAGTAAACTACAACAGTTTACATGGGTGATCTGTGTAGCTTTTTTACTGCTAAGATTAGCTGTTTATTTAACCAGGATCATTTAAAAGGCCAACGATCAAGACAATCTGAGCCATAATTTGAGCCACTTTGCTCAGGTTTGAACAGATGATCTTCTGATAGTTAAGACGAGCTTTACTATCATCTCATGTATCTTCTATTGTGCTGAAACATCGCATTACTTGGAGTTATATAAGCTGCAGTCCAGTCGCAGTGAAAGTATTCGACTCCAGCTCCAAGGTCGCTTCACCTGTTGTGTTCTGCCCACTTCCCTTCGCGTCTTGATGTCCCAGTCATCAACAGAGGGCAAAAAACAGGCCAGAGGTGTCTTCTGCTGACCCAAAAAGAGGCATCAAGAACACCTGTGGATTTGCAAGTCATCCTCTCATCTTTGACAGCTTCTGCTCTCGTTTTGTGAGAAATGCCTGAACACGATCTTTAATTTGCTTAGAATTTTTGAGACAATGGGCTTTTCTGTGGTCAACTGCTTGGGTAGATTTGATTCATATTCAGGACATCGAGTAAATAAAATTTATAATGCCTTATAATACAAAATCCTTGAAGAAACTAGCGTTTACTGTAGTTGTATCGCCTAAATCCAGGACCATTTACGAGTCCTTCAATAATTTGTAATGCTTAAGAGTAGACACTTGCCTTTTAGGATTCTTAGAATGTAAAACACGTCCTTTTAAATTATGATAATCATCACTTATCAAAAATCAAATATCTTTATTTTATTGAAGGGTTTTACAGCTGAACCATTACGAATGTGTATGTTCCTTAAAGCTGTGAATCTCACTTAAATACTTTATTCTTTTATACTTTTACCTGAAATGGCGACCATACGAAGGTCGGTATTTTAAGCCAAGTTTGAATGGAGATGAGTGTAGGATGAGTGGCGCGATATTGTAGTCTTGTTACCGACTAGGGCGGCATGTTCCTAGACAGGGCTGTTAATTAATGAATAGCTCATACAACCTAAGGGGCCTACAGTTTATTGGAACCCGAACCACATTTTTGCCACTCCTCATCAAACGTAATTGTATTTACTTTGATTTGGAATGGATTTGGAAAAAACTACGTTCATTCTAATCTTATACTTATTATTAAAAAATAAATTTTTGTATAGTTTGAAACGTGTCATTACGGATATTCTAGTTTATAACATAATTGCATAACATTTAAACTCTGCTTCAATCGGATATGTATATGTAGCATGTTTTTAATTTCCTTGGTCTTAAAATATGACTACTTGATTACGTTAAAAAAATGTTAAAAATTTTTGAACTTGATGATTAAAATTGTAATAGCTAGTAAGTGTTAAATACTCGACAGTGAACTATTGCTTCATGTATGACATGTCATAGATGAACTGTTCATATCTGGCCATATTTCAAGTCTTAGTCGAACTAATGAGTAATTTATTTTCATTTTTATATTCAAACGCCGTTTGACCATTTGTATGAAATATAGTACTCTAAAACCAATAAATCCGTAGAGTAACATTGTGGCACTTTCATTGTATAAACGCAAAAACGTGATTTAATCTGTCGAATGGTTGAAACAATGTCTCTGAGCCTACAATTAGGCAGTTCAGTCACGTAGTCAACATTACACGCGATTGTGGCGATGCAAACGGCTAAAACAAGAAACTCTGATTTATCTACACCCATTACAGTATATATTTGCGCGTTGGACGAGTGGCAAACGATTAGTTCGGCCGTGGCTACAGGCGCGGGCGCGGGAATCAAACCGGTTGTCGGTGGCGCTGTGACCGGTGGGCGGGGAGCAACCGAACTACGCGTTACCTACAACTACTGAACACGGCTACTGGGAATAATCACACAATCGTACTACACGCTGGGAGTAGTCTGTGCATAATCATGTTGACCAAAGCGGATTTCAGCATGGATTACCAAATACCGTTGATTTTTGTTAACTTTTCCGATAGTTTCATAGGTGGATCACCAGTAACATTACTTTTGAGGACATTGATTAGAAACCCCTAAGGTGCGTATTTCAGACGGAAAAGAATGCATACTGAGAGTAGAATTATATATTGTACTAAACATGTTCCCAAGTCCAAAACTGTGCACTGGGCCAAATTAAAACATGAAAACAATTGTAAGAGTGTAATTCAATATATTCAAAGGGCATTGACAATTTTGATTAATCAATAACAATTATTTCGTTCTTTTATTTATTTATTGTTATATAATCAACTTTGAAACTATATTTTAACTGAATATAACAATGGGTGCAAACTATTGCTTGCATGTTTGTGTTTGCTGTTATATAGAACGAGTACAGCACTAGATGTTTAGTTAAATAAATATACCCGAAAACATCAGTGCAATAGTGCAAACCAATATCCCGTGCGCGAAAAAGATCTTGGAACAGGTTAAACGTTTTGCAATAGGATTAGGAGTAAACTTGTACTGTGGAAAGTCGTCGGTAGACTGGAGTGATATTATCTGTCCAGTTTTGTTGCTATATATCGAAACACTTGTTTGCAACACTTCTACATCTAGACAAGTAGGTCTAATAATTTCAGTTGATTTTAGCAGATGGAAAAAAAGTTTTTAGTTTTTCCATTCCCATGTGTATGTTCAACATACACACCAACTAAGATAAGGACGCATCCGAGTTATAATTACCCAAAATTTGAGTGAACAATGAGTGTAGAATCATAGAATGGAGATATTTCCTCTGACTTAAAAGACCTGTTTTGCCAGTAGCTGTAAAAAGCCCAATGGCCAAGAACAGCTAGTCCCAATTGAACTATCGTAACTTTTGACTTTTCTCAGGATCGAACTGGTAACCTTTCGATAACCTGTCGAGAACTGTATCCACTAACCCAGCAAACAACATTTAAACACGCAAGCATACCTTAACCGCACGTAGCAAGTTGGCTGGAAGAAGACAATGTATATTCCATACGTGTGCCAACAGACCAACTGTTGGCCAGGTTCAGGGCCTACTCAAGGCCAATACAGCAATGTTGGTAAATTACTAGCCGGGCGGCAGCATAACAAACATGGGTTTAGATGGTAATCTCCATACCTGGTCTGGTCGCTAATTCCCGTGACTTTAGCGCCCGAATAATAACAGCTTTGAGCAGACGACTCGGGGAAATCACAAGTAATTATTTGTCGGATGATTAGATAATAAAGTGCTGGGGACAACAATGTTGCAATTTGTAATATCTTATTTACAATGCTTAAGCAAGTAGAAACAGTGCATAACCAACCAAGTATATCATGTTGCTCGGAGGATGACGGAGTGGCTGGACGAAAATACTGTCTGAGATTCGGTTGCAAGTCATCTTCGGAGAGATGTTCTTTGTTCTAGTTACATTATTAAAAAAAAAACTTTACTGGAAAAGGTATTGTGCCAAAAGGCATTACTTTAAAAGGCAATACTCTAAAAAGCCATTACTCCAAAAGGCATTACTCCAAAAAGAATGACTACAAAAGGAATGACTCCAAAAGGAATTACTCCAAAAGGAATTACTCCAAAAGCGATTACTCCAAAAGGCATTACTCTAGAAGGTTTTACTCTAAAAGGCACTACTCCAAAAAACATTACTTTAAAAGGCATTACTCTAAAAGGCAATACTCCGAAAGTCGTTGTTCCGAAAGGTATATCTCCGAAAGCTTCGACAAAATGTACCCAAACATATCCTCCCAAAAAAACATTAATTTGGAGAAACCTCTAAGAATAATCCATATATAATCTAATCACTAAAAAATAAACAATTGAAATGTAGCTTGTCCTAAAGTAGGGGAGCTTTATTACTGAATAAATTGTAAAGGCAATAGTTTAAGGGCAAGAGTATAAAAAAGGTTTATTCACTAAGTAAAGACAATTTTTCTGGATGATTTTGGAATGGTTGTGGTCGTATCTTATCTCTTCTATTGGCGATTGTGGATTTGGCTAAGCAGATCCCTGTAATCAGAAATTTGATACAGCTTTTCGTATGCATAGGATTATGTGCTTAATTTTAGCGACTTTTGGCCATAAGTTAGTGTTCTACGAGCACTCAATAACCGATAAGTAAGTTTAGAGAAGACCTTCGCAACGACGCCTTTCCCTGCTTAAAACGTTACAAATGGACCACGAATGCAAATATAACTACAATCAATGGCCTCATTTCATCACGAAAAAAAAAACTATTTGACTTAATGCTTTTACCATATGAACTAAGTATGCTTCTACACAGAAAGTCAGTTTAATTGTACGTTAGGAGAGAAATCTGGTGAAATGAAAATGAGGGCCTACTAGAGATAACCAGTTGGAGCCGCTTGGCCATATACAGACGATTACAACATTGGAATGTACATTAATGATGTGTATCTGGGCTGGCCATTCTAGAGTGTCCACTATTATGAAATACCCCCACGTCGGAGGGATATTCATCCTGAATGTGGGATTTTGAAGATGAGTGTGGGATCAATTGAAATTTGACGTAGGTTGACGTTATTTAAAATACACATAGGCCTACATATATTGAGTGGAATATTGATAATGATTGTGGGGTGGAATTAAAATGTGAGTTAACATTAGTTCTAAAAACAAAGTGTACAATTTTTTAAGTATATTTTGAACTATTGCGGGGTAAAAAAAGTTGTGGTAGTACATTTTCTGAAAGACAGTACAACCTTGGAGAATATCAAGGACGATTTTACTGTGATATAAAGTTATAACATGTAGTATGGGATGATATCACAATTACAAAGTGCTCAAACCTTGTAGCCAAATTATAACTTAATACTTTTTAATGAAATGGCGACTACACAGAGTAGGCATTTTAAGCCAAGTATAAATAGAGATGAGTGTAGGATGAATGATGCGATCTTGTAGTCTTGTTAGTGACTAAGGCCGACTTATTCCTTAGACACAGCTGTTAATTAATAGCCCATACAGCTAATGGCAACCAAGGGACCTACAGTTTATAGTGGAATCCCAACCACATTTTTGCCTTGGTATATACGAATTGGTCTAATTATCACGATAATACTGCGGATAGTCGTAGTACTCACTCGTGCGGACGTTAATCCACACCAGGGAGTATCGCATCCACAGTGCATGCCTATAAATATCCACAATTCCTTCTAGTAGCTGGATTACAGGACTACGCCACTCAATTATAGGTTAACTTTGTTATTTGTGGTGGGGTTTCAAATAAACAAAAATGTAAACTTTGAGATATTTTGAACGATTGTGGGATAGAATGAATGAGTGATTTGGTAAATAAATCGAATGCAAATAGAAACCTTAGGAAATTAGTTCTATTGAATTGGAAACAGCACAAACAAGGCATCATATGTAATTACATCATTTGGCATGGAATCCAAAGTTATTTGTATTTGATCCTTATTTATTCCAACCGAAATTCCACTACACAACAAGTCTGCTGGTTACATTTCATCAACAATCGGACCAGCCACCCACCGCACCAGACAAACAACGGCTTGCGGCAACATACGGTAATCAGGTGCGAGCCGTAGCCCTCGTAGACCGTAATTATAACAGTCATGCGTCGCCGGGGAAGCCGCCTCGTATAAATAACCTAGTTCATCTCTGCTCTTTAATTATTCGGGGGCAACGATGATTACGCGGCGCCTTGGTCCAGGATGATATGTGTGTTTAGGTGCGACTGTCTGCCTCAATGCTAGGTGGGTGGCGAAGTCTGAAAAGATTAGTGGCCCTACAATGCGTCCTTGGGTGATCCCAACGTAATGAGATTTCATGAGAATTGTTAGAGTTTATTGTTTTATTAGATTATATTACTTATTTAATGTATAACGAATACATCTCTGGGAGAACACTGCTCTAGATGTTCTGGAAAAGGTTAGCGTCACTAAAATGCATCCTTAAGTATTTTCAGAAAATCTTCTTTATAAGATGGTAGACTTAAGATCAAAGTAGACTGTATACAAAACATGCTCGTGATATATGTTTTTGCCAGATGATGTACTCATACATAGGCTACTCATAATTATTAGGGTATTTAGGGCGTGGAGATGAGCACGTCATTGAATTGTCGAAAATACTGGACTGGCATTTCGTATGCGTCGTCACATTATGACTCCTACATAGTGGTTTTATCATTCTTAGGGATCAGCTCAAAGCAATGTTATTGGTTAGTTTCCTGTGGTATGTGTAGAGGGTGTATGGTTTTCTACTATCAATTAGTTTATATTTTATTACCTACTTAACCAAATTGTTACCTGTATTTTCCAAAAGAGACAATCTAGTTTTAAGGATTTGCTTTTTTATGGTATTATTAGGACAATATGTCAAAAGTAAAATATAAATTATAAAATAAATTTAGTAATTAAACGTTTAATCAATTTGTAAACATCTTTCAGTCTTCATACCCTATAAAATGGTTAAAATATATTTTGCCGCTGCGATAAACGAAATCGTATACGCTTGTGTAACATTTACATAGACAAGATGTTCCATGTGCGAGGCGACGCGTGGGAGGATACGAGCAAGGCAGTTCCGCCCATTACCTCACAATGGTAGGCGGCTCGTGCATGCGTTTGACCTGTCACTTTAATTGTATTGCTGTAAATGTAGCAACTACCGTTCCGCGGACACAGTTCGCTACCTGAAAGCCTGTTTGTCACTCACTCCCAACTTGTACGACGTGTTGCATCTCACTCCTAACTTGTAAGACGTATTGCTGCTCACTCTCAACTTGTAAGATGTGTTGCTGCTCACTCCCAACTTGTAAGATGTGTTGCTGCTCACTCCCAACTTGTAAGACGTTTTTTTGCTCACTCTCAACTTGTAAGACGTGTTGCCGCTCACTTCCAACTTGTAAGACGTGTTGCCGCTCACTTCCAACTTGTAAGACGTGTTGCTGCTCACTTCCAACTTGTAAGACGTGTTGCTGCTCACTTCCAACTTGTAAGACGTGTTGCTGATCACTCCCAACTTGTAAGACGTTTTTTTGCTCACTCTCAACTTGTAAGACGTGTTGCCGCTCACTTCCAACTTGTAAGACGTGTTGCCGCTCACTTCCAACTTGTAAGACGTGTTGCTGCTCACTTCCAACTTGTAAGACGTGTTGCTGCTCACTTCCAACTTGTAAGACTTGTTGCTGATCACTCCCAACTTGTAAGACGTTTTTTTGCTCACTCTCAACTTGTAAGACGTGTTGCCGCTCACTTCCAACTTGTAAGACGTGTTGCTGCTCACTTCCAACTTGTAAGACTTGTTGCTGATCACTCCCAACTTGTAAGACGTTTTTTTGCTCACTCTCAACTTGTAAGATGTGTTGCTGCTCACTCCCAACTTGTAAGACGTTTTTTTGCTCACTCTCAACTTGTAAGACGTGTTGCCGCACACTCTCAACTTGTAAGATGTGTTGCTGCTCACTCCCAACTTGTAAGACGTTTTTTTGCTCACTCTCAACTTGTAAGACGTGTTGTCGCTCACTTCCAACTTGTAAGACGTGTTACTGCTCACTCCAAACTTGTAAGACCATTTAGTTAAGGACTTTTTTAAGAAGGAATCTCAGGAGGCCATAACTTTTCAGTTTGCCGGGTAGGTTCCTTATGCAGCTAAAGGGGAAGAGCTTACGTAAATTAAAATTTTTAAAGGGGAATTTTATGGAACCAAGTATTTTAAAGGGCATTCGTTGAGGGAGCAAGGAGAAAAAGAGAGCCTTACGATTTCCCTACAATACCTGACCCAAACTAACATGATATGATTTTAACCTGACCTTACACGAAAATTGGCCTAAAAGACCCTACAATTTATATCCTTGCCAACAACTCAAGCTCTTGATACATTTTTACATTATTTATGGCCCGAACCTATAACATTAATTTATGGAATCTCACTTAAACATGGTAAACATTTTATGTACGAGTTGTATAACTAAAAAAAAATGTTTGTTGCAGAGTTATCGACATGGGGGAGAAAGATGGGAAGAAAATTAGACGTGTTGCGCAGAAGTGATTCCAGAGAGTCTCTGAACAGCATAACGTCAAGGGAAAGCGTAAAGAAGAAATCCATCTGGAGGATAGGACGAAGTGCTTCAGAGAATATCCATGAAGCAGAGAAGAAGGCAGATCGGTCACCTTCGTCGATCAAAGGTTTCTTCATCAGAATGGGCTCCACGGGAATGCTCAACAGCTCAAGGCAGAGTTCACCAGCACCTGTTGATTCCTCGGGGAACGCTTTGTTCCGTAGTGTGTCTACCTCTCAGCTGGCAACGTCTTATGTGCGAGGCGATGATCCTGCAGACTGTCTAGACTTGGGCAGCCAGAACCAAACTAATCAAAAACAAAAATGTGTAAACTTACATTCCGAGACACCTGTTTCTAACAAACCTTCCAACCCGACTGATCCCGGGTATGTACCTCTGAAAACCTTAAGCTGTGATAATATCTCCCGACTTGGGACAAACGTTTCTACTCTCCCACCACCTGTCTCGCGGAAAGCAAACTTCCCTTATGCGTTTTTAAGATCGAAACTCTCAGTACTACCTGAAGAAAATGGCGGTTGTGTGGCTAGCCAGAAATTTAGACCTAGATCGCAAAGAGACAGCTTTTCTGAGTGCAAATATTCAGGAGAACAGTCTGAGAAAGCTTTCCGTTTGAGAGCTAATTCAGAAGAGTACTTTCCTACAAGCAACAGCCCGGAACCGTCAACGCTCATAGAGTGCAATACTCTGGGGAGAAGAAGAAGATCGAGTTTTGAAATTAGCTCGTTGAGGAGGCTAAATGGAAGACACTATAACGGGTTTGTGAGTAATTGTAGTTTGGAGTCAGAGGACAAAAAGCCAGCTGCAAATGGGAACTACGTTAGCTCAAATGAATCAGGCTATGACAGTGATGGGCAAAGACCCTGTGAGGAGAGACGGGATGAGGTACAGACTGAACGTGATGATGATAGTGGGATACTCGCTAATGATAGCTTTGACTGCGGATCACTTCAGGACTTTGAATTGGCCCATTCTGCGAAAAACAGTAGACGATTATCATGTGATCTCAGTAATCTAGGAAGCATAGACAAACCTGATGAATGGAAACATCGGAACCAAGACGATTCGCTCAGCATTTCTAGCGAGAGGAAGTACTCGCTATCCAACGGGGTGGAATGGGAGCGAAAATGTTACTCTGGTAGACTTCTTCCATCCCTCAGCTACAAATGTTCTCTCGGCTCAAATGACAGTTTAGACAAAGGGGGAAGTACAGGGTCATTATCACGGAAGTTTAGTCTGAACGAACAAGCGATGAAATACATCAATGGTAAAGACACATGCAGATCACCCTCAATAAAACCACCTGTGAAACCCTTTACAAGACATATGTTTGTCAAAAACACCAGCAAGTCTGACAACAAGAGGTACCAGTGTTCTTCAGCGAAGAGCTCTTGGCCATCGGCGGAGGAGATGTCTTCACTTCCACCTTACTTCAACGACAGTGTCTATAGTGACACACCAGCTAGGCGATACCGGCTGATCCGCCTTCTCAAGGTAATTGAAACATGTAGTTAGTTTGCAAATATGTTTAAATCAACCAAATTAAATACAGTATAACTTCCTTCTAAATTAGCCCATCCTTTATTTTTCACCGATAATAGTATAATACTACTTTAAGCTATTTAGTTTTTAATAATATGGAAATCATACTGAATTCTCCTTGAGAAACTATACACTTCCCCTTTGACTTTATATGGGCGATGAATTACTTATTTTGTTCAACTAAAAACAAAAACAAAAACTCTTATGTATGACTTAAGTGTCACCGTATCATGAAACAAACATTAAACCTGGCTTTAGATTTGCAATAGGATGAGAAATCTAATTTCACGATTCAAAGTATATGGTTCAATTTTTATAGTTACTTTCTAAATATAGCTTAGTTAGTATATGAAAGAGTTTAGTTTAAATCAATATTTTGTTTGGATGAATGGTAACGAATGATTGACTTTGAATACAGATGATGTAGTTGGTTAATTTTTAATGTTTGACTTTGTCCAGGTAAATTCAGATGATGAGTTGTGGATTTTAGTAACGCACAATTGCCTTTGTTTAGGTAAATGCAGATGATGTGTTGTGGATTTTAGTAATGAATGTTTGACTTTGTCAAGTTAAATGCAGATAATGAGTTGTGTATCTAAGTAATGAATGTTTGACTTTGTCCAGTTAAATGCAGATGATGAGTTGTGGATCTTAGTAATGAATGTTTGACTTTGATGAGTTGTTGATCTTAGTAATGCACAATTACCTTTGTTTAGGTAAATGCAGATGATGAGTTGTGGATCTTAGTAATACATAATTGACTTTGTCCAGGTAAATGCAGATGATGAGTTGGGGATCTACTTGACCATGGAGATCCACCAAGTCACCTTGGACTCCCCGGCCAGTAGGACAACAAGATACATCGTTCTGAGGCTGGAGAAGGGAGGCATTGCAGAGAGGTGAGTCTTAGATTAAGTTAATATATCTCCCCCCAACTGTTTTTATTAAGAGTTTTTTACCTTTCTCAACCCCGCTTGTATCTGTCTTCATGAGGCTTAAAGGCCTTAGCATAGATCATTTAATGCAAAGCAAGGGGTAAGTTGGTAGTGTACAGAGTGAACAATAGTGATTAGTTTTAAGTGATTGCAATGGGAAGTGAACCCACGGCATTGCTACCTTGGGTTCGCATAATCTTTTCCACCACCCACTCAGATTTGTCTAGGTCTTAGTTTCACTATCTCCTCAGTGCCTCACAACCTTAAATGTTTTCCCAGTCATGAACAGTCCCAATTAGTTAGTTCCAAGTATGTTCACTGAAGAACTTTTCTCAAGTTGAAAGTTTCTTCACCGGCTTTGTCCACATCAAAAGTTGAGGACAAGTAGCATAATTGTGTTTTTTGAATTAGCTCATATGTTACTCAAATGTTACTTTGATATTTGAGCTAGAACCAACAGTTTTAAATTGGACATTTAAAGTTAATACCAGTTTTAAAACCGTCAATAGATACAACAGATGCTATTAGGATCATAAATTGGTTTTACAAGATGGATTCGACTCCTTGGCTACACAACTCTATCTTTGTTCCCTAAATTCCAGGAATAGTAAATTTTCAAAATCATGTGTACAAACCAACACAGGCTCTAAGAGGAGTGTAAAAACAAAGGTCTATTTATAACCCATCCTCCTTTGATTTCTTTTATTTATTTACTTTACTTATTTTAGGGTCTCTGTCTTTTCCTTCAAACATCATGTTCAACTTTTCAAAAACACAATTTTAACTCTTAAAAAAATGTTGTTAAGCTATAAAATAATTTTTTTTCAGGGACGGAAGGATAAGGGTCGGGGACGAGGTGATCAACGTGAATGGTAGATTGCTGCGAGGTCTCTCTACTCTACAAGAGGTGCACGCCATGTTGAACCACCCCCTGGGCGGGGCTGCGGGGCCGGGGTATGTGGTGGACATAGTCATCGCCAGGGACGACGAGAGAGACCCACCAAACAGGAGGTTCTCGATGACGGATGTTCAAGATGATTGTCAGGTAAGGAGCAAAAACCTTTCCAATACACCCATCTTTTCCATGAATCGCCTTCTTGACCTGTCCCCCTTTTGGCGTAGGTGCGTTCTCCTAGCTGAGCTCTGTCACCTACTGATGACTTGGTGCACACCATACCCGGCTTAAACACTAAAATTCAATTACTTTGGATTCAAGATTTCAGTGGACCCTCTTAAGCAGTGGCGTTGGCGTTGGCGTAGCAGAGTGAGAATGGGTGGAAGTAGCATTTCCACTATGCTTTTTCAAATATCTTACATGTTAATAGATCAACTGTGTTTTTCCCAAGACGATAGTAAACATTTGTGCACTGAAAGTGTAAAAAAAATGTATAAAAAGGTAGCAGAATGCTTGATTTTTTAAGACACGCACACATTTTAACATCTACTTAACGGATTCTCTATCATAATGAATTATTTATTTTGTAGCAAATTACCTGCACCTAATCAATCTCAAATCTTAAATCTATTCTATTTTAGGTGGTAACTGCAAGTCCGTACAACCCAGATGTAGAAAGACAGACTGTTGAGACGGAACCAGCAAGAGACAAACGGTCTGCAGTGGCTGTCATCAATAGAGTCCTGGCCGCATCTGTTAAGGCTACTGCGGCGAAAACTGCAACACCCATGGAGGTACGGAGATCAACTTAAATGTTAGAATGTGTTAATAAGGTAGTGGCTCAAGTAGTTGCAAAACGGACTATTAATCCATGGCGGCAATATTATGGGTTCACGTCTCTATTACACTTCATTATGTGTTGTTTCTGTACACAGGCATATAATTTGATACAGAACAAGAATTATGTGTATTCTAGAATAATGTGTGGATTCTTTATGTATTTTTGATAATGAAAATACCTGAAATACAATGTCATGTATAAGCTATATAATGCATTCATGCCACAGAGAGGTAAGAAATAGAGGATATAATCAATGGTACACTTTAGTGATGTCTAGCACCAGTCACTGGTCTGGAGCAAATTCTATTCGTCGTCCCCTCCCACTCTCATTTCCCCTCGCTATCAGGTACTACAGCACTCACATTGTAAGAAGACCCTGTGCGCAACAACTGCTGTACATTAATGCTATATGGCCATCACTGTTCAGGCTCTTCCAGGCTCGTCACAAGTATGTTTCCGCCCCAACATACCTGGTGAGCTAAAACTGTACTGCAATCCCATAAGCTCTTCTATATCTTTTGAGACCAGCAAGGAAGAGCCTGAACGGCGAGCACTGTGCGGAAGTTTCTATCGCAAAAGGCACAGGGTCTTCCTCCACTGAAAGAGTTGTAGTACATGATGGTGAGGGGGACGATGTTGACTTTGTCCTAGACACCAGCAACTAAAGCTACCTGCAGCTGGTGCAGGTAAAGCTAGTCTTACGTCTCTCTGATGTAAATATATTGGATAGTGTTTAAATATGTCTTTAACTTTAATTACTGATAAAATACAGGTCTTTAAGTAACATCCTAGTCCTACTTGAATTTCCTTTTGTTCTTATTCACTTTATAATTCTATTGAATACTCGTTTCAGCATAAGGCATAGTCTTGATGTTATGAGAACAGCTGTTCAATTATTGTTGCATTACATATCATGTGACAGTGAAAGGATTAGGGTGTTATCATTGCCCCAGCCCATCCTGTATTCAAAAATACTGTTTTTAAATAATTATTCATATTGCAAAAGAGCAACTATGGGAATTTTGTTACTGGAGATATAGTGCATCAATTCTTTTACTGCCAGTATCAAATATAGCACTGAGCAAGTTATCACTCAGCACTGAGCAAGTTATATGGCACTGAGTAAGTGTCATCCCTTTGATACTATGTTTCTTGTTTAAAAATAAAACTAAATCTTAAGTTAAAGAATTCCATTTAATGAACTACAACTAAGTTTGTTTACAAAAACTTGTTTACAAAAAAAATAATAATAATAATTAACAGCCTAACTTTAACTTTAACTTTAACTTTATAGTCATACGTCACTATATACAAATCATTGTGGGATAAAAGATCTTAACTCCAAAAAGATCAATAAAGATCCACCTAATACAATAGTTTAAAACTACTACTCTTACTCTATTTGATGTTGAATTGTGTTCAGGTGGATGAAGGCAGTCATTTCGTGACATCTAGACACACAGTGGTATTTCACAAGGGGATTGGCCGTAAGTCTCTTGGCTTTAGCATCGTAGGAGGCACAGACTCTCCGAGAGGGCAGATGGGAATCTTTGTCAAAACCATCTTCGCCTCAGGACAGGCAGCAGAAGAGGGAAGTCTCCTTGAAGGTTTGTAGAAGAGTAAATCTAATAAACGGTATCAGCAATCTGACACATACTTCTACACTAGTCAACAACCCTATATGGGTAAGCGGTGGGAGTAACCGATATTTTATGGGGAAATTCACAAAAGTTGTGGTCCAAAGTCCTTAAATGTAGAAATGATAAGGCTTGAACAAGTCCCTTCTCTCTTCAAATAAGCCAAGCTCTAAATAACCGGGGAATTATTTTGAAGGAGCTCTAATTTTCATCAACAAGATGTGTTTCCCCATTAGTTTTGACTTTGAATAATTGCCTGCTGTGCATTTTTTTTTGTAATTTCTTATTTATTATCACTAACAAGATGCCCAAGGAGGAGAGCAGCAACACACTTGTGCCACTGGGCTTTATGGGGGGGGGGATTTTTCTTACGTATTACCATCGATGATTTATCCAAGTTTTTTTAAAGTAGCCCCAACAAATGTTTTGCTAAAATAATAGATTCCATTAACAGCTGCAACAGGATTTTGGTTATTCATAATTACATTTTGTTTGTTGCAAAAACATGATGTCTTCGGGATGGCCTGAGATGTTCCTAATTTGGTTGCGATCATGTGTTATACGATGATGATTTCTTTGCGATTGCAGGGAGTTGTCAAGTTATTGCCAACATTACAGGTTAGGATTATGCTGTCTCCTCGACCGCAGGAAAATGTCGAGACGTCTCTGTCAAGAGAAGGATGGTGATGTCTTTGTGACCAGGGGTAAATTTAGAGATATTGCCATGGACACGGAGGGATGATGTATTTGTGACGGTGGAGGCGGATGTATGAATCTGAAAGGATGGCGTTTTTTGCCTCTGGGGACTTCAAGACTAAAAGTAAATCAGTTCTGGGTCCGGATCTTACTTTAAGTCCTACGATAATAGCTTATTCCTCATATGGGAAGTTGTCCAAAAATACTACAGCCTAGACTGTTCCCTTGCACAATATGCTGAAAGCGGTAATGTCATTGGAAAACATAAACTACTCCTTTCAATCCTTGTTCTGAGAACCAAATCCTTGAGGTTTTGTGTATGTGTTCCAACACTTAAGATACCTGAATTTCTTTCCCAACTAAGAGTTACCCATGCAGATATTTATGGAGTAGGCATTGCTAATTTGCCTGTTCCATGCCATTTCCACTTCCATAGTAAGCAGAAGCAGCCACCGTACATTCTATGTCAGTGTGCAAGTAGGCTAGATATCTGGTTATGTAAATGTATGAGATAAATTTACTGATTAGTAAGACTTTTACAAACTATGAAAAGCATCATTTGAAAGAAAGTCTTGTTTTTTTCTCGCATAAATTTATGTTCTCTGTAGCATATAAATTTTGTCTTATATTTTCTATTAGGTATTCCAGAATATGCATACTATTACTATATTTAACAATCAGGATTTGGTAAACTAAAGAACCAGCCTTTATAAGGTCACCTTTCTTGTATTTCCATGACAAAAATGAGAAAACAGACAAAATTTTCTGAAACATCCTACAAAATGGTCTACAGTATAGTATTTAGGTACAACAACAACCAACTCTCTTGACAGAAAGGCAGAGGCAACTCCTTTGTACATTGTGGTAATTGAGTTGAGGATTCTATGTTTGTTACCAAAGTACCATAACTAACAGTAAGGTGTTGTTTCAGGGGATGAGATCGTATCTGTGAACAGTCAGCCTCTAGAAGGGTTGTCCCACGCTGAAGCCATCACCGTCTTCAAGAAGATTCGTTCTGGTCAAGTAACTTTAGAAGTACTCAGAAGAAGGATAACATCAAGGTAAAAGTTAGCCCTTTAGCTTATTAAAACCACATTTTGCAAATTGATAAGATGTAGGATGGAGACGTCCAATTGTAAATTCTTGCTCATGGTAGCCCTAAAAGTGCATTTGTTCAGCAATTGAGGATGCAAATGGTCTGCATCAATGAAAGTCTGGATTAAAGGAATTCAATTTAATGTGAATACAGGCAGTAGTAGTCTACAAATATTTTGGTTACCTAGTATTGATGAAATGCTTAACATGAAAAAAATCTTGAACCTATTCTGTATATGTACACAAAAAACAAGTAAACTACTGAAGCGCTATAAGCTGTGTAAAAAACTGCATCATTTATCACATTCGTGACTTTAACGCACGTAACTTTTGCAATCTGCTCTCAAATGTCTCTCAGGATCAAGCAAAGCATTCTGTATTAATGGGTCCGGATAAGTGAAAGCTTACATTCCCCATCAAGGAAAAAGATCAACCTAAACAGTTGGTTACTTGTAACAATGCACTTAATTTCCGACATAAAACATATTACTTTATTAATTTTGTCTAATATACCATTATATTATACTCTGTTCACAAAATTAATTAGGCGGTTTGAGGAGATATTATTCCATCCCTTTCACTTCATCCTAACTATGAAACAACAGTCTACAAATGATCAGCTGATGTTTGTTTGTTGTTTGTTATTTTATGAAACTTTTTTTACTCAAGGGCTGCATTGTCAATTTTTGAAGGAAAGGCAGAACCTTGACATTTTAGTACAGAAAGGTAGCCCACTCCAAATAACCAACAATAAAGTCGTTTTCAAAGAGCTCATTAGTGATTTTTGAAATTTTCTTACTGACTTTTTTGGTGCTTATAACTTGTTGAATAATAACCATTATTGTAACTGTGTTTGTTTGTTGTATTTATAAATTTTTATTGTCATAGCATAAATATGCTTATGATTATTCAATTTCTTAAGAAAGTAGATTTAAATTAATTAAACAGTATATTTACAGTTAGGCCCTTATTAGACGAGGCAGCCAAGTTGCGCAGCCAGCCGGGCAGCCAGTCGGCCAGTTAGTCACTGGGCATTGGTTCTTATGGAGCTTATTACACGAGGGCAGCCAGTTGCGCAGCCACTGTTTGGCTGCCGGCTGGTTGCCGAGCCCGGCGACCGCACAGGCAACCACTGGCTGCTCGGTCTGGTCGCGCCCCTGTGTAGCTTACGGATCTTATTACACTGGGCAGCCAGTCGCCCACTGCCACACATCAGTAGTAGATCATCACTCGTGGAAGTGCGTTCATCTCTGTCGGTCACATCATTGTGTGTTGTTTTCCTCAGTATTCTTTTGGTGAACAATGTCTTCTGATTGTAAAGTGAGAGTGAATGTCGTAGCAAACAACTAGAATAGTGAAGTGAGTGTGGTTGGAAGTTGCAATAAATCTAAAAAGAAGGAACAGGGAGGTGACTCTAAAACCACTGCACCAAAAAAGCGTCTCTCCCTAACAGAACTGTTCCACCAACACTGTTCCACTGTTAACAAGAGACTGGCCTAGTTGGTAATTTTGTGGCTGCCCTGTGGCTGCTCTACTGGTTGCTCTACTGGTTGCTACGCTAGGCAGCCAGACAGGCGACTGGCTGCCCGGCTGGTTGCGCAACTTGGCTGCCTCGTCTAATAAGAGCCTCTGTTATGGGAGTTTTTGATTTGCCACTTTAAGGTCAGTCCAATCCATCAGGTTAAAATTTGTTCTCTTGATCTTTAGGATTGATTTCAAAGGGTCATCCAACTTGGAAGATCTGTATTATAGCACATGCATACAGCTAATTTTCTCTTATTGTTGATCAAGGTATTGCCAAGACTGCAAAATACATTCATAAGTTTTGCCGCAACCATGAGTGACATTCGTCGTGTATCCCAATATAAGACAAGACCTTAAGATAAACTCACGAGTGTTGTCGCAACTGAACATGTAAACCATCATATAAAAATAATGATTTCTGTGGGTTAGAAAATATCTTTTGCCTGTGAGCCATAGGTTTGAGCCCTCTGGTATACATTAAGCTAAAAAAGCAGTGGTAGAACCCAGGAAACCTTCCTCTAAAGCCGCCAAAATTTTGTGAACAGACTATAATGCTACTTTACAGTCCACTTTAATGTTTACTGATCATTTTTCTGCTGTTTCAGAAATCAAAAGACGAAATCAGCCACCACCAAAGACTCATAAGCTCACTAATTTAATGTATAAAAGTCCAGCTTTATAGATAGTTTATGTAAAAACCTACATTCGAGTTATGTACAAACTATTATTTATACTGTTATATTTGTATATTTATCTGTGTATATTTTTATAATTTTTTTATCATTCCATTTTAAGTAGATCTTAAATTAGATTTAATGTTGTAAATAAACATGTAAAACCAGCAAAAGCTTTGTTATTATTACATGTACAGTAGATTAATTATTTTCCATCTTTATTGAGTTTGATTTGAAGTTTTATTTATTAAAAATTCTGCAACTATGTAAAATTTTGAAATATACCGTAGTAAACTTCTAAGTATGTTTAACAAAGTAAAATGTTCATGGTAAAAGGTATTTTTGGTAATACTGTACAATTATTTTACTATTTACTGACCAGTATGAAATTTTATTAATTTAATTTAATTTTTAAATTTTGTTGTCTTTCAATGCTTGTATAATGATTTAATCTCTGTGGTTACAAAAAATTGTTGTTTAAAAATTCTGTATATTAAATTTTTACGATGTAAAAAACTGTTTTATTTCCTTTATCCTAATGTTTAATGTAATTCTACATGTTAAAAAATCTTAATCTTAATGTTAAAAAAAGATAACTGTTCTAAAAATGCTTGTTTGTTATATTATAGGCCTATGTGTTTGTCATGCATTAAGGGTCTACAAGGCCCCTCTAGAAAAACAGGCCATGCTGCAGAAGGCAGCTGTTGTAAACATCAGTGTAAGCAATCCCATGTATCGACAAAATTTATTGATTGATTTTATCGGTTGTAGCTTATTGGTGCATTCTTGTTAATAGTTTAACTTATCCATAGGATAATGTACAGTCACACAATCGCACACAACGAAATGACTAAATCACTTATTAAAAAGCTTTATTACTGACCACTGTATATAAGCATAATAAGCAGCTGTGGATAAGCATTTGCATTAGCAAAATTTAAAACAAGCTAGGAGTAATTTTGAGAGATTATCATAAAACTTGAGCTTATGTCGAAAAGAGTTACTTTACGCCCTAGTGAAGTAGACCAATAAATTCTCGTGAGCTACCCAAAAATCTGTTAATACAAAAGGGCTTACAAACCATGGTGTCAGAAGGAGAAAAAAACACAATGTGTTTTTTAAAAGCCAAGGTCTGCAAGTCTACAAGGTCCATCTTCTAGTTAGAAATCTATCAAAAAAAAATTATCAAAATAGATTTCTTGTTAGAAATCTAGCAAGAGGATCCTCATGGATTGTTAAAGGTCTAGGATGACATCGATGAAATAGGATGAGGCCGTTTGACTGAATAGAATACAATAATATTATAGCTTATTATTGTCACTATAGATAATACACATTTCCAGTGTTCCAACACAGCTGGGAAAACAGGTGACATAGTCAATATTACAACTAAATATACACTTTGGATAAAATATAATACTTTTAAACATTTTAATTTTGAAACAACATCATTCTTTATTCTGGCCGGTTCATTAAGAGGGGTTTTTTTTTCAAATAAGCAGATGTGGTGCCGGAAGTAATTTAAAACTGGGTGGGATGTTTTTGTTCATATAGGTTTATTCTGTATGATTGTTAGCTAGTTTTTTTTTTTTAAATTTACTATAGTTTTGTACAATTGTTACGTAAACATTGTTGCGCAAACATACGATTGTTGCGTAAACTACTATTTACATTCACATTTTTATCTTTGTATTGTTCCAATCGATCTTTATGAATGACTGTTGAAGTACAAAAGACTTATTTTAGAAAAAAATTAACTTGGTCAAATTCAAAATTTTAAAATAGCAGCCGTTACAATTTTAAGAGCTCGACACATTTAAAATGGCTAATTTTATTAAATACTTTTAAGAACACTTTAATTTAGAAAACAAAATTCCTTTTTAAAGGACATGAAGTTAAAAAAAAATTGAATAGTAACAAAAACTGCAATATCACGATTTTAGTTGTCAAATGAGGTAGAAAATAAACATGTGAGCCAGGTTGCACTAATTTTAAAAATAAAAGTTGTGATGTTTTAGTATTTTTTTTAGGTCTTTATGAACTATTTGTCGTTTGACAAGTAGTTTTAAATACTAAATAAAAGATTTTTAGTCATTTTATAAAACCAGCCATTTAAAAAAATTTAAATAGTAAAAACTAAAATAGCAGCCATTTTAAAATGCCGAATTGACCTAGATTTTGTCTAACATGTTTTTCAACTCCCTTATCGTACATACTATGTTTCATAAAGATTGGTTTGAACAATCAAACAATAAAAATGTTTATGTAAAAATTAAATAAATGGTGGACATTTGGCTAACGAAGCAATATTGGAAAAAATTATATTCTCGATTTTCTCTTTACATTGACTTGTAGATATAAATTTCGGAGTTTGTTGTTTACTTACGGGACTCCCTGTATATGCAGATAATTTATAATTAATCCCCCGAAGGACTTGTGCACACTCCTCCTTTCTTTTACCACCTTAGTCTCAGGGTGGATTATGTATCAATTCTCTGAGACAACGACCCGGGAGCAAATTGTGAGTGTAAGGTGAGTGTACAATAAAGTGAGATGATCTGTGTAGCTTTTTTACTGACTAAGATTAGATGTTTCATAAGTCAGGATCATTTATTAAAATGTCAATAAATGATCAAGGGTAGTTGTGAGCTCGGCCAGTAACGTACCACCAATATGCTATACTGACTTTTCTCAGCACAGCAGTTGTGTCGCCTTTTTGTTATTTCTCAAAAGGGCCAAATAAAATTAATTGGAGAGTTTAGCCATTCTCTATCTAGGTCTGGTCTGATGGTATTACCACTTGACTAATAGTTATTGAATTTAAAACTGACAATTCCGTTTGGTCTTATATTAACCCTTGCCGACAGACCGCCACCGCGCACCACCACCCCCCACCACTGCTCGAGCGAACAACATTACCGCAACGGGGCTGATAATTCGTAGGTAGTTGGTTCGAAACCCACCGGAAGCATTAACTTTTTGACTTGATTTTTTCATTTTCAGCAAGTTTGGTTAGGTTATGATAGTTTAATTTTATAATTAAAAATTATATAATTGATTTTGAGACATTTATAATTTTATTTTATGAACATAACTATTTTTGTTATTAGTAAACCTTTATTCGAAATTTTCATTATCAGCAAGTTTGGTTAGTATGGCTAAGTTATGACAGTTAAATTAATTTAAATTTAACCTACAAACGACACGTTTACGTTTTGACAGCGACAGTGATACAGATAACAATTTCCAACGAACAGTTCGGCTAGATGCACGGTATGATGCGTTTTGCACGTGCACGGCACAACGGTGGCGGTCTCATTGTTCTTAATTGACGAATCATATTATGAGCCAATCGTCGAACTCAGGTCAGAGAAGCGACTCTCGGCTTTCCAAACAGTAAAAGCGATGTAACTTTACATCTCCATCTCACTCGATCGACAAGTCCCCAGTCTATCCAAGAGGTAACACTAATAATGATATTGAGGGATTAGTACTAACCCAATGTTACAAATACTGGCGAGAACTTAACTAATGATTAAAGTTAATTTCAGTGTCAAGCAAAGCTAACCATTTACAAGCTTATATAATAAATTAACAGATATTTTCAATTGATTTTGGCCATATATATTGAATAGTGTTCAGTTTTTAATGTGTTTAATTGGTTATTATAAACACATCTAGAGCCCTAAAGGATAGTGATTACAGGCAGTGATACCTGTTGGTGCCACAGTGAACTACATACTGCTTTACCGACAATCTAAGATTCTTGACGCTACTTAATATAATTATAGCAACTAACTGCTGAACTATTTAACCATCATTATGTGTTACATTGGCCATCTACAGTATATGTATTATTTTGATTATCGTGTAACTTAACATTTTAAGGATATCCCCCAAAAATAGGGGTGCATATAATTTCAGTAGCCTAGCATCATTCCAACATACCAACTCCCCCGATCCATATACATGTAGGAAATTTTGTATTGCGGAAAATATCATCAATATTACAAAATGGATAAAAATATTTTGAGGGGAATGTCCCCCATTGGCCCCATTGTAAGTAAAAGGGAGGGGTTTAGGGGGCGGCATGGGACCATCCCATTGAATTTCTCGCCCCAAAAATAGGGGATGTACGATATTTGGACTGTCTTGCCCCAAAATAGTTGAAAAATAAAACACGATTAGGGAGAAAATCCCTGCCAAAAATTCCCACTCCCCAGAGCCATTACACCTAAAGGTATTTTTATGGCATGTTTGTACAATGTACATAGCCGTGCCGAGTTTAAATATAAGTATACATAAGCATACTATAGATGACTATGGTTTGTAGCTAAAGATCTTTTAAAAACCACTCAACATTTAACTATGTGAAGGGAAATTAGAAACGGTAGTTTGGAGTTTAAACATTAGTTTTCAACCATTTATCACTTTAAACTCTTTCTAACAAAGTTTATTAAATTACTATGCTCAGCACAAAATACAAACATTACCATAATTTATACCTTTCGCCTATGAGGTTCTGAATTATTTAACATGCTAAACACAATAAGTTGTCTCTAAGATTGTAGAATTAATTAGTTGAAAAATATTATTTTCCAACAGTTACCTGACAAAGTGGGCTTCCTTGCACTTTTAAATTAATTAATAATTACTTTCTGCATTTACTTACTTTCTCCGCAGTCATTTTATTGCTTTTACTAGGCACGTAATACGTGTAGTGAGTAGTGTACGCTTGAAAACAAGTTGGAAATACTTAAAAATGCTGAAAATAAAAATAAAAAAGTTTTTGCCCTGAAAACGTTTATGTATTCGTGGCAATTATCGTTAATGGATAAAGAGGTTTCTTAGCTAATTAGCACAACTTTAAATTAAATAAATTTGCGTCTTTTGTATTAAATAACTTTTTATTTTTGTGTAAAAAATTAGTGTTACATAGTTAATAGAATCTCAATTATTAACAATAAAAATAAATCTATGATGAATTAAGAATTCGTTTTAGTGACACCTAGGAGTGACTTGGCGAGCTGATGTGAACCTGAATGCTAGTGACATCTAGCGGTGATCTGGCGAACTATTAATGTTCTAGAATAGATGTCGAGAGAGTAAAAGTCAATGTTTCTCACTCTCATTGAGTATAAAGTACAATGATTAATAATTAAAGATGAGATGCTGCATTTCAATCCTAAGGGAATTCCTCCAATAAGTTTAAGAGTCTTCCTTAGTGGTAGCCATGTTGGATTTCTTCCCCATAAGAACAATGTTAAACATTACATCATTTGTGGACACGTAACGGCGTTATTTGTTAAGATATAGCTTTGAAATTTATAATTTGTATTTTTAACATAATAGACTCGTGACTGAGGTTTTTGAATTTCGAAAATCCATTATCATTTCCTTTCAATAATTAGCTTAATTTTAAGCTAATTAATAATCAATTATTCATTATAAAAATTAAAAATTGTGAAATAAAAAACGTCAATCTCTAGAGGACCGCAATTCCTTAAATTTAACTCCTTATCCATAATTATATGACAATTTGCTGATGAGATATTTGGACCCAAAGTTAACATTGTTCTTATGGGGAAGAAATCCAACATGGCTTCCACTAAGGAAGACTCTTAAGGATGACATAATATAACAATAATAATGGTTACATACCTTACGTCGTCAATCCTAAAATAAGTCTATGGCGACTAGTTTCGAAACATCAAGGTTTCATTGTCGAGCCTCTTGCCTTTTAAAAACATTGTGACATCTTGTCGTCGTCATTATACACAGTACATTTAACATAAACACACGAACACGGACACATACTATTTACAAAAATGAGTGCGCGGCTGGCCATAAGTACCGCGGTGACGGACACGATGCAACTAACCGACTCCTGTCTGTTGACATTGACCTTGGAGGGGGTGAAACAGCTGATTGTGAGCGCTTCCGTTATCAATGTCCTCAATCCTATCAAATATTATATAACTTCTTGATCATGATTATAGGTCTGATGATGATTGGAGTGTCCAATCGAAATCGATCACCACTTACCATCGTTTTTGTATATTTACCGTCTTGTGAGTAACAGTATAAGCGTAAATATATGTTTTAAGTGTTATAAGACGTTTCTTTTATTTACTTTCCGTAAATATTATATTACGGCCAAAATTGAGTTTTTCATTTAAAATGTCGTGAGGATGTTTTTTTGTTGCTTTGTAGATTTCTAAGCTTTCTAGAACATTCATTAAAGAGCCTTTGGTGCATTTGTGCATTTGTGCATTTGCATTTTTTAAAAGGCAAGAGGCTCGACAATGAAACCTTGATGTTTCGAAACTAGTCGCCATAGACTTATTTTAGGATTGACGACGTAAGGTATGTAACCATTATTATTGTCAATAATCAATCCTGGAGGCAATGATGAATAAATTGGACGCCAGTCAGGCTAAAATTGCCTACAAATACAAGAATGCCAAATTAAAATTATTGAACACTTGTCAGAACATAAAGTTTAACAAAGCATGCATGGACCTGAACATCATTCCAAACTACGTCCAAGTGAAAATAAAGAATAAAAGCTTTTCCGCTCAAAAGGCCAAATCATTAGCAGAAAGAATCTGGATAAATAACGAAATTAAATTTCTCTATAGAAAGAAAGACATGCTAAATACCCTACTCTTGAAATCACACATCGACCTTTTGAATGCAATCCACCCTTCTCAAACCAACAATGCCTTGTCAAGCATTGAAAATCAAATAAGTAAAGTCATTTTAAGAAAGAAGGAAACCCAAAAACGTAAACTAGATAAACTCTTAGAACTACAATCCAAACCAATCGAAGAATTCATAACAAACCACATATTTTTTCCTAGAGTAAAAAATTGCACAGACATAATTTTTACTGAACCTGAATTGAACGTTCTTAATAAAGGACTAAAGCACAACACCTTAAATGGTAATTGGAACAAAAACCTAACTTCCGAACTGTTAAATGCTGAGATAGCCATTAGCTCTATCAAAGACGAAAATTCGAAAAATTATGTCAGACAAATCATTGACAATAAAGTCAAATCAATACTGAATCGGAATAAAAATAAAAATAAACATCTCTTGAGTGATATAAAAACCATAAAATCTATAAAAGAAAAACTAATCACCCATGAATGTATTGCAACTAAAGCTGACAAAGGGCAGTGCATTGTGATCATGAAAATTGACGATTACAACAACAAAGTTTTAGATTTCATAAACAATAACAATATCAAAGAAATTTCTAAAGATCCTACCGACCTTTTTCACACAAAAATAAAAAACGCTATAAATAAATCACAACATATCATCATTGGAGACCGAAGCAACTACCTCAAAATGATTAAACCTAAGGCCCCAACATTGAGGGGATTGCCAAAAATACACAAAGAGACCATGCCTATCCGACCTCTGGTAAATTTCACCTCAGCACCTTCCTACAAAATTGCAAAGGTTCTAGACAAAATTCTTAGAAATAACATCAAACTGAACGAGAACCATAGCCTAAAAAATAGCCTAGAGCTTATAGATCTGCTGAAAGATATTAAAATAGAAAACCGGCATACTTTAGCATCACTGGATATTGTAAACTTATACACCAATGTCCCAATACAGGAAACGTTAGAGTTAGCTAGAGAAAACCTGTCTACTAACTCCCAACTAAGTAATGACGCCATCAATGAATTAATATTCTTATTGAAAACTACATTAGACCAGAACTACTTTACTTTTAACGGGAAATATTACCTACAGGAAGAGGGACTCGCTATGGGCTCCCCGTTATCGAGTGTGCTCTCCGAAATATACCTCAATAGTTTTGAAAACAAAAACATCCTCTCCGACAGCAATAAATTTTCTAAGAAAATATTGTTCTATAAAAGATATGTCGATGACACATTTTTGATTTTTAATGGCAATCCAAGGCAACTACAACTTTTGAATAATTACTTGAACAATATTACTCAGAACATCAAATTCACGCTCGAAGTCGAAAATAATAATTCAATCAACTTCCTAGATCTCACAATGACCAAAAATAACAACAACATTGCTTACAAAATTTACAGAAAGCCTACAACAACAGACCATACCATCCACGCATCATCTAATCATCCACAATCCCATAAGATGGCTGCTTACAATAGTTTTGTTAACAGGCTTCTAAAAATACCCATGACCCAAGCAGACTACAATGATGAATACACATTATTAAAGTGCATAGCCGTCAACAATGGTTATAACAGTAACATTATCGATAATATCATCCGTAAACAAAAAAACAGAAAGCAAACAGAAAAACCCGTCCAAAACTTTATATCCATAGAATATGGTAGCAATCTACACTATACACTAAAAAACGAATTGAAGAAACATAACGTAACTTTAGCCTGCAAAACTTCGAATAAATTAGAAAGCCTCCTAAATCCACGTACTACCGAAAAAATTAATTCAAACAGCCTTGAGGACACTGGAGTATATAAACTATCTTGCAGCGACTGTCCTAAAATATATATAGGACAAACAGGTCGTTCGTTCAAGAAAAGGTTCAACGAACACCTTCCTAAACCTAAATTGAGAACTCAACACTCCAAGTTCGCCGAACACCTGATTAACGAAAACCACAACGTTAATAGCTGCAATGATAGCTTGAATATTCTACACAAATGCACCAAAGGCTCTTTAATGAATGTTCTAGAAAGCTTAGAAATCTACAAAGCAACAAAAAAACATCCTCACGACATTTTAAATGAAAAACTCAATTTTGGCCGTAATATAATATTTGATAGGATTGAGGACATTGATAACGGAAGCGCTCACAATCAGCTGTTTCACCCCCTCCAAGGTCAATGTCAACAGACAGGAGTCGGTTAGTTGCATCGTGTCCGTCACCGCGGTGCTTATGGCCAGCCGCGCACTCATTTTTGTAAATAGTATGTGTCCGTGTTCGTGTGTTTATGTTAAATGTACTGTGTATAATGACGACGACAAGATGTCACAATGTTTTTAAAAGGCAAGAGGCTCGACAATGAAACCTTGATGTTTCGAAACTAGTCGCCATAGACTTATTTTAGGATTGACGACGTAAGGTATGTAACCATTATTATTGTCAATAATCAATCCTGGAGGCAATGATGAATAAAATGACATAATATACTGTAAAACATAACGTCTGCTGCAGCACCAAAGTCCTGCAAAATATTCGCTGGCTAGAAGTTCAACGATTAGCCGCTATAGCAGCACATACCTATTGATGAAATCTTCTTTACCGACTTATCTCATAAAGGCTATATGACAGTATATCCGACTTGCTGAAAAGTAATCAGAAATAAATTAACACCTTTCTAGTTGTAACAGTATTGGGAATTTCCCAATTAAAATTAGTAGATACACATTTTAGAGTCAACATAACGTGTGTTGTTATTGGGGGAAAGAAGATAAAAAAAAAATGGGAACTAGGTATTTCTTTCCCCAACCAAATAATGTAAAACAAATCTCCACAAAAATATCTCTAGAAAATTTTATTTCATGCAAGAGGTAAAATAGTTCTATTATGCTAGCATAGAATAAATATAAAATAACATCAAAGATTTGAATTGTTATGATTTTTCCTATTAACTTGAAGGGTATGTTCTTAAAGCGTTTTTATCTGGCTCCTTGGTTAAAGGGTCCCCGGTATAAAAAGTTAAGCTCCCATACAACTAGGACATATTCGAACAAAAAAAATCTATTAACAATTAGCGGGATTACAATCCGGGCCGTAGTGCGGAAGTCCCACGTTCTAACCACTAGAGTAATTTATTATCTTGGCAAAAGAGTGGTTTAAAGTGGTCGCCTTTAAATCTTAAGTTAGCTGGTTCGATCCTGAGAGATAGATAAGGACTCATGCAATTATTGTCTTGAAGCTTACAATTAATGCGTTCTAACAAAAGGTTAACTTTAGATGGTAAAAATATCAGCTCTATAACGTTTTAGACAAAGTAACCTAAACGAAATGAAAAAAAGAAGCCAATGGGTATTAACACCAACCAAATTTAATATTACAGGGTGTTTTACGTAACCCGAATTACAAGCGAGAGCGGTACTGAGAGACACACTGTTTAAGGTCAAATTGTTTTTTGATTTTAATCCCTGTTTACTTTACTTTTTGCCGATCGGCTGATATGCATTGTTGTCTAAAAGATTTAGTCTAATTGGGTATTTTTTGTTACAAGTTTAATATGTAATTTTTGCAAGGTCAAGGAGTGTGTATTGCAAAAGAATACATTTTTGAAGTACCTAAGTCATTGATTTTATACCAAGCATATTTTGAAATAGAGTTTCCATGTGTGATTCCAATACCTTATAAATCAAAAATGTATACACTTGTTAAAAATGTTTAGGTGGCCGGGTTTGTAGTAAACATAAAACATAAGTCTGCAATACATACTCGTTGAAGTTACGAAAACACGTTTGAGTGTTATTCACAATAAATTACCAACAACGCCGAACGGTGTAGACATCAATGCAACAATGTGTATCAGCTGATAGGCAATGAAGTAAAGAAAACAGAGATACCCAACCATGAACTAGTGTAGTTCTTAAACAGTGTCTCTTGGTACTTGCAATTTAGGTTGTGTAAAGAAACACCCTGTATGTAAAAGTCCATCCCACACGTTTCAAGTAGGCCCTAACAATAATATTACATAGCCACCCAATTAATCTTCTAGCATCGTTCAATAGTTACAACTATTTAAGGGTCGTCCTTGGCTAGTGCTATAAGGGCTTCGACTTTGACCTACTGTAAGCGTATCAACCCGTATTGCATATGTATAGGCTACTGAATGCTGATAAACATAATGAGGAATTGTATTGAAACTTGTTGATAACCATGTCGACAAGAAAGGTATGCACAGCTTATTGGTAGGATGCAATGTTATATTTGAAGATATTTATATAGTTTTGCAGAAGAAAACACTGCAATACCAAGCAAGTATTTTACTATAGGACATTAACGTAACTGTTTTATGGCAGTTTTTAAGACCTAACTTGATTATGTTTTAACATTATTGCTACTTTGACTGACTTGTAAAATAAACTATAAAGGTAACCTGAAAAGCGGTTAGACACGGCTAGCGAATTAGCAGAGCAAAGAATAGTAGTGGCCGGCTTTACCCCTATAAAAAAGTAATTTCTGGCCATATATGGCCATATCAAAATTCCATATATGGTTTTATAAAGCCATATATGGGTTTTGATGAGCATATATGGAAGCATATATGGCCAGATGTGGTTGTATCCATATATGGTGGTGTCCATATATGGCCATATATGTAGTATATATATGGAATTATTGTTCATATATGGCCATACATGTTTTCGATATATGAAATAATTGTTCTTATATGGCCATACATGTTTTCTATATATGAAATAATTGTTCATATATGGCCATACATGTTTTCTATATATGAAATAATTGTTCATATATGGCCATACATGTTTTCTATATATGAAATTATTGCCCATATATGGCCATACATGTTTTCTACATATGAAATTATTGTTCATATATGGCCATACATGTTTTTTATATATGAAAATATTGCCCATATATGGCCATAAATATCCTCCATATATGGAATTATGGTCTATATATGGTCATATATGACTCCCAGGTATGAAATTAAATTACTCATATATGGAATAATAATTTTCCATTTATGCTCATCTATAAATGAGTTTTTGACAATAACTGGAATTATTATAAGGGATTGTTGCCACTTTAGGATTATGTAACTCTCAAACTCCCAAACACTTCTTATAATATTAAAAATCTAAAGTTTATCAGTTTGTGTATTTTCTTGTTGCTCTCCTAGCACAAACTACTTAACTGATTGAGTTGATATGTGGTACAGTAAGGGGGCAGATAATATAGGCAATTCTCCTTTAAAGTAATTATTAGTAAAGAAATAAAATATCCAGATTTGAACCCTGATGACAAAATCCTGTACATACATCTATTGTACAATTGTATTATAACGCAACAAAATCTTAAAACTGACGTATAATTTTAAAATTGTAAGTGTAGTAGGCCTAAATAAGGAGAATATTATATTAATAATTAATTAATTGTACCTTTGCTATCAAACAGCCTCAAATATCAATGTCACGTAGTTAGGCTATATTAATAATAACATTCTTCAAATGACATAAAATGTAAGAAAAATCTTGTTTTACGAGACCAAATACAGCTTCTCTTATTCGTAATGGGTTTTGATCATCCACATGATATGAAGCAATCGTGGTGTAGTGGCTAAGGGGGCAGACTCTCACGCCGGAGTCCCGGGTTCAATTCCCAGTCAGATGCTTAAAAATTTTGTTTTGAAATTTTTGAATTTAAAATTTTTATTATAGTTTTAATTTATAGTTTATACCATTTAAGGTAAAAATATGTTTAATTGTTATTTTTTTATTTATTTATATATTTTTTATTAAAAAATTCCATATATGGAGGATTCCATATATGATCATATATGGAGGATTCCATATATGATCATATCTGGGGGATTCCATATATGATCATATCTGGTTGTATTTGGTCCAAAACCAAATATAACCGGATAAAAAAAATTTTATATGGCCATATATAAACTTTTTCATAAGGGTACCTTTAGCATGTAGACAAGTGGGCTTTTTCCTCTTCCGTTCTCATCGTCTATGGTGGTGGGGGTTATGTTTCCTACAGTTGCCTTTGGGCCTCGGTTGCTTGATTATGTTATATATATATGTACATGTATTCCACATCATTGATTATAAAATAATAAGCTTCTGCTATACAACAAACATAAACCTTTCTTTGCACAACAATATGGTCTTTCCTTCGGAGCATTGATGTGGCCAGCTGTTTTGGGGGATCTTTTGGGGGCGTGAAACAGTATTTTTTCGTGTAACTAAAACATTTAGCCTGCGATCTTTCTATTTCACACCAATATAATCTCTTTAACAGTTACGGCATGGTATTTTATGAACCTAACATTTTTACATTTGGGATGTATGAATAGTTTTTCTAAACACAATAAATAGTACGCAGTAAAATGCCTCTACTTTTCTAAAATAACGAACAAAATATTTTTAAATTTTCATAATTAGTTCATTAGAATGACCAACCTCGAAAGAGTATGCTGAATCAGTATTAAATATTTCCTACGTATTAAATAATATCTGATTTCATAAACTGCTTAACTAGAATACCTTTTTACATAGTATATGAAAAAGTATTGTTTTTGTCAACATTTTCGACTGGTTTATGTATGAAAAACAAAATGACAGATTTCTAGGTAAATGTGCATTTTCGGAAATACCTTTATGAGAAATTTTTATTTTATTTTATGAGGAGTCATATCTCGACCTTCTGACATTTTTTTACACTCTGTTTAGACACGATTAAAACTGTGACAAATTCGACTAGCCATAAATGAAGCCAAATTGAATACCAAACCAAGTGTATAAAAAAACCTATCAAGTTCTGGAAGCATCAAAGTTGTTAAATCAATTTATTAAAAAATTATATACTAAGCATTAATTAGGGAGTATGCTTAATCTCTGATAAAAGGTCGAATCGTTGTCGCTTGAAGATTACCAGTGTTACTGGACTTAATGTATCGCCTTCGCGACATATAATTCACCGTCTTTAACTGGTTTTACAGTAATGGTGTAAACATATAGATTATTGTTGCTGATTTCGTTGTTATTTATTTGTTTTGAATATCGACTTATTTCATCAAATCCTTTTTTACACGAGGCAGTGACGTAGGTGTGTGGGAACGTCGCACTGACTGGTTTATTGACATGGTATAACAAAAGACATAATAATATTACGCAGACACAAGCTTATGCATTAGTGCAACAGCTGTTTCGGTAGGCCGGGGCTTCAGCGTTGCCAATTTTCTCTTGCCGCTGCCTTCTATTAGAGGCCATGATTACATCCGTTTAATACCCACCACTCAAACAGCTGATGGATTTTAAGTTATTTCTTAAATGCATCGAAAAAAAACGTTTCACACGATCAAAATTAAACAGAAAATATATTAAAAGCTATTAATATATGAAAGCTATAAAATTTATAAGCATTATATTTTGTAAACATCTGATAAATTATGTGTTTGCATAGTTTTATAGCACACAGTAAATAATAGACATACAAAAGCTGTTTACTCTTTGTTATGTGATTACAGGGATCTTAGTGTAAACAAACGAAGCCAGATAAACTGAACTAAATGTTTATTTAATGATGTACAAGATATGAAATTACTATCACTATATCTAGACGTCATTACTTGCATTTGCAGCTGATAATATTAACGATCTAGAAATTCAGCGATGACAAATTACTCTTAAATTAGTGACTAGCCTATGAAAACTTAAATTCTAGCTTTGGGTACAACAATAGCTTATTTATTTACACATGGAAATGAATGTGTTGATTAAGGTAAGGTTTGGTGAACATTGAAAATGTATGTCTTACACTGATTAAATGTCCATATCTAAAAGATACTCTTAAAAATAAATTGACTCTTGTGGAATATGAGAAAAAACTACTATACGCTATTAAAACTGATAAGAATTTTGGGTTTCACGATAAGGCACTCTTTCAGGAAACAAATACACAAAAATATAAAAATAAAAGTAAAATTATATTAATCGATTCGAATAGACAACATATTCGTTTAGTTATTTTTTCCCTTACGAGGATAAATTTTAATAAAAATCATTATTTTAAAATAAAGATAATATGTTATTAAATGTTATTAACATCGAAACTTGTTTCTCATTGGATTGTACAATTAAGTTAAACGATTGTATCGAAAATAATGTCCTAATATAATCCTGAAAGATATAACACATTGTATAATGTTCTATGATTGTTAACAACATTTTTGAAACTGAATTGTGACACATTTCATAGTTTGCTGAGTTACAATTTTGAACACACTATATTTTGTGTATAATTTTTAATTGGTTAAAAGAGTTTGTCCTTAGCAAAATCTTACGGATTGCCTTCAAATGTTCGTAAGTTTTCACTTTCACACCCAGAGTCTTCAGATCAAATCCTTACCTGAAACACACAATTAACATTGTTATTCACATTATTATGGAATTTATAATGCAATAATATCACATCTGACAATGGGTTTATTGTTTTCCTCTCAATGAAAACATCCAAATGTATATTTTAAATCGCATAACGTTAGCACAAGTACTTTAGTGCATGATCTAGATTCAGTTTGCAATTGCAAAAATATAGTAGTTTTGTATTAGGAATTAAGTTCACAAAAACACACACGTACATTATAATGTTATATACGTATATATGCATGTACTGATCAACGGATATTGAAGAATAATTAAACTTACAAATTACAAAGACTACTAGTTGTTATGCAATAGTTACTTTACATTCATATTAAAATAGCACATTTCGTGTATAGGCTGTGTCGTCATATAGTATATTAGTTGACTATATTATGAAAATATGATGACTATTGAGAACTAAGTTGATTTTCATTGGCATCGTTTTACTAAATTTATTTTAATGAATTTTCCATTACAGGTTCCTAACAATGTAACACATATGTATGTCTTCAATAATATTGAAACTCTTGTATTATATTAAATTGTATAGGTTGAAAACGCCCCGTGTTGATTTGTCCTGAGCTTTAATACGATTTTAAGACGGGATGTGTATTACAATTAGGTATTAAGCTACTAGACAAAACTACACAAAATACCTCAGTGAGTAGTGACAACCAATATAAGTTCATTATATTCACAACAATTATTAGCCTACACAAAGCTTTAAAAATTTAATCTTAATTTTCATTATTTTTACTTTTAAAATATGTAATTCTGTTTAAGGAAGTGAAAATAATCAAATCCGAAGCCGTATTGACGGGTAAGGTGTAGTTGGAGGACAAAACGATATATTGTATATTGTTAACATTATCGTCTGTACGCCAAGGCTTTATACAAGGTTGGCAGCATTGACATACACATGTTAAGGAGATAGTATACTGTCCAATGTATAATATGACTGACGCCAAGTTATCCTCATGATATGAATAAATCATACTGGTTCAAATTTCGATTTTATCATATTTGTTTTTTTTCACCCGATTACAATTATTACATCTATGCATGTGTTAGTGTTGGATATATTGACGTTGTAATTTATTTTTGTGTTTAAGCAAATTTCTGATATAGGGTTTAAGGTCTTATGGTGAGACATACACCCGGGACCGAATTTTTTTGTTTGATGTCCAGAGGTGAAAAAAACCATCCTTTCAAATATATGTCCGTTAGCACGAAAACTCGTGCAAAACCCATAAGATTTTAATTACATTTGGTACAAACATGTAAACCCACGTTTTTCTAACAACTTTGAACCGGTATGATTGGACAATGGGAACCCGTTTTTATGGATATATGTAAAACCTAACGGAGTGAAATTTAAGGTTTTCCATTTTTTACCATAAAACACTAAATTTACCGATTATTTGTTTCTTAATAATTTTTTGGAGCTTAGGAAACATACAATTTATTAAATCAAGAATTATTATACGCTAAACTGTTGTTACGGATAAAATAGAAAAGATAAAACTGTAAATCTAAAATTCTCAACTTCTCCTTATGGAGTATACTAATGAGGTACAACAATTTCTTAATTTTATGGTAGTTTGACTGAGTTTTTCAAATCCAAAAAAAAATTCATCACCTTAATATAGGTAACTGAGGTTTTCCGAATCAACCTATTGCATGGATTTTCATAGTCGAATTTGAAAATAAAAGGAATACTAAAAACGTAATCAAATAAATTAGCAATAAGGGAACCTCTTAAAATTTTACTTTTATCGTGACCAGTTGAACATTTTCAATATCAATAACATCATTACGAATATATTACGGGAATTAAAAGAAATTGGGATTGACACTTGTAATAATAAAAGCAAAGAAAAATTGAAAAAATACATTCAGTCCCCTATGAGAAATTAAATGAATAAATTTAACACGGATATAAAATGAAAAAGTGACAAATACTCTAAACAATATTATGTCACCTTATACCTAAAATGTTACAACCACTATCTGTTTATGTTTAGTGTTTACCCAATTTCCACCGAGTATGAAACCACTCGACGATATCAAGCTGTACAAACCTGAAACCTGTATGGAACCACTTAACTTTACGTTGTTTGCATGCTGGATGGTAGGTTCCCGCGTTAAACTTTGAAGAAGTAGAAGAAGAAGATGCAAACAAGTTTTTCATAATGAAGCCGAGTGTGGCTGTGTGATAAGGCAGGGTTGTGAAAAAGCACGTTTTTGCACTTAGCGCGGATCGGTGAGCGCAAAACTCACAAAGATTATAAGTGAATACAAGGATGTGTTTGTACCAGTTTAAAATTGTTGTTCTCAAACATGTTGTATACATTTTTTTTCAAATTGACAAGAAATGTTTCCTCTTTTAGCGAATTTCCCACATATTTTGAATGCGCTATTGTGGGTCTCATGGTAGGACCTAGCCTCAGGACATTTTCCGTGACACGATAACTCAAGTTGTTGATGAGATTAGGCTTAATCTATCAATTTTTAACGAAATTTGGTGCAAACGTGTAAACCTACGTTTATTCAAGCAAGTTGAACGGACTAATGGATCGGGGTTTTATGATGAGATTAATGTTTTGCGAAAATGTGGGTTCATGAGTTATAATGGTATTTTCCCATTCTTTACCCTAAAAACGTAAAACTTTTTATTCATTTCCAAACAATTTTGTAGAGCGAAAACAAATAAATTTGTGGAAAATTAGTGGAACAGGTTAGAAAAACTGTCAATAACTTGAGAGTTATTTTTATTAAGATTCAGTAAACGATTGTAGGTTGCTTGTTTAAAGATACATTTTGATCACATTAGGAAAATTTATTAGTTATATACTGATCTATTAACTTTTAATAAAATTACATTTCATTGCATTCCCTGTAGCAGCAAACTTAAATTACTCTTTAATTGAATTTAAAAAATATAATAAATCTTACATTTGTAAGGAAACTTTTTTGTGAAAATCCAATCAGGCAAATGGAAATTTACTAGGTCTAATCTAGAGGTTAAAATACCTTTAATCCGTCAAAGTGATCAGACGTCACCGATGAGCGGCTACAGTCACTTTGACGGATCACTTTGACGGATTAAAGGTATTTTAACCTCTAGATTAATTTAAATTTGTGATCAGGAGGCAAAAAACAACAGAAATGAAGTTACTAGGTCTGCAGGTTAGCTGCAGCGGAGTTATATCAAGATGTTTTTTTTTTTTAGATTCAGAGGAAAAACACTAGCGATCTAACCCAATGAGGACATTACTGTAAGCCCTCAATAATTCGGACACCGTAATAATGGACTTCGCTTAGCTCAGTTGGTTACAGGTGTCATAACGCTTAACTATGAATAAGCAGCAGCTGTAGGTATGTATTATTAATCAAGGCGATGACGTCAGTATGTGTATTTAAACACAACAAAATAGAGAGTGTAGAATAGAAGGTATGTCTTGTTTAGCGTTGTTATTGGCTAAGACTATCACTTTTTACGCCAGAACCATTCATTAAAGCCCAATCATGGCAACTGTTAGCTACGAACCATCAAAATTTACCGTCTTGGCGACCTTTTGAAACCCATGCTACCCAGCTGTTCTCATTTTTATATGTTTATTCTTTGATTTTTTATCATGTTTATGTATTGTTTTTGTCTATCAGTATTTTTATTTACAAGGCCTAAAACGATCCAAGACTCACGACTTTCTTAAAATTAAGATTAGTTGATTTAACAGACGACTTAAATTTCAATCAAGCCGGTTTTAAGAGGTTTATTTTAAGTACGCCAACAGTGTACTATTGTAGCTGTCCACAAAAATATACATTGATTTTATTTAAATATATCTATACATTTTGTATGACCAGATACAAAGAGAGTTCAAGACTTAAGAGGTGAAAAAGAAGCATATAATGAGAACTATGCAAGGCTAGGAGGGTGTACCTTGAGAAAAACAGGCAGAATTGTTTTATCTATATATATAAAATCCAAAGTATGTTTGTATGTTTGTCCTTTATGGACTCCGAAACCGCTCGACAGATTGTAATACAACTTGCAGGCATTATTTATCATTATTCAAGGATGGTTTGTGTGAAGTTTGGTGCAGATCCGTCAAAAGGGCTTCGCCCCAGTGGCTCTGGAGTTTCCCATGTTAACCTTATGAGTACTCATATTTAAATGAAATTAAAGAATCTTAACAGCTGGTTCAAACAAACTATTTGATTCTGTGATGTTAAATAGCATTAAAAAGTTAATAGGTTTACCAACAAGGTGCAGCACTGTAATTTTTTATTTATTTATGAAAGGTGAGTGAGCGTAGCGAACGAACTTCAACCTGGAGGTGAGTTAGCGTAGCGAACGAACTAACCTGAAGGCAAGTGAGCGCAGCGAACGAACTAACCTGAAGGCAAGTGAGCGCAGCGAACGAACTAACCTGAAGGCAAGTGAGCGCAGCGAACGAACTAACCTGAAGGCAAGTGAGCGCAGCGAAAGAGCTCCAACCTAAAGGTGAGTGAGCGTAGCGAACGAGCTCCAACCTAAAGGTGAGTGAGCATAGCGAACGAACTTCAACCAGGACGTGATTGAGCCATGCGAACGAGTTCATCATGAAAATGAACGAGCATTTGACATAAAACCACATTAGGACAGGACGACGTCTGTCGGGCCAGCTAGTATTCTATAAACATCTATTAAGTGGGTTTAGTTATAGCTGGGCTGTGTCTTGATTGTTCACTAGAAAACTAACCGATTCATAGCGTAATGAATAATCTTACTTAAATATGCCACCGGTAATTTACTATTAATATATATATATATGGTAAACAACGTAAATATCCTCTAAACAAAATCTTTGGATACATTTTTAAATGAATGGAAACATCATATACTACCCCTACACATTAAGACCCTTGAAAAACGTTCCCAGTTTGTGGCGGCACTGAAAAAGCTCTATTTTGAGAAGATGGTCTCGGCTGGCGTGT